TCTTCATGTCCACAACTCCATGTTCTAGAGCTTCAGCTCACATCCCACCACTACATTCTAGTGACAGCCCCCATAGCCCCGTGTTCCAGATCTTCAGCTCACATCCCACCACTGCATTCTAGAGTGACAGCCCCCATGGCCCCGTGTTTTAGATCTTCAGCTCACCTCCCTTCACATCCTTTTAGAGCGACAGGCCTCTCCACTGTGCTCCGAGTGCTAGTGCCTGTTTTCTAGTGTGCCAGCCCCAGACTCATCTTCTAGAGCTTCAACACCTCTCTTTCACTGCATTTCACAGCAACAAGCCCCTTCACTGCACTCCCACGTGCCAGGTCCTGCAACCTAGAGAGACAACCCCCACCCCCATGTTCTAGAGCTTCCGCTTACCTCCCTTCACTGCATTTTAGAGCAACATGCCCCACAACCCCATGTTCTAGAGCATCAACTTGCTTCCCTTCACTGCATTCTAGAGCAACAGGCCCCTCCACTGTGCTCCACCATGCTAGCTCCCATGTTCTAGAGTGACAGCCCCCAATCCTATGTTCCAGAGCTTTAACTCTCCGCCCAATCACCGCATGCCAGCACCCTCCACTATATTCCAGAGCAACAGCCTGCCCCTCTCACGTTCTAGAGCTGCAGGCTGCCATCCTTCCAGTGTGTTTTACAGGACCAGACACCTCCAAAGCTTTCTAGAGCAACAGCCAGTACATTATAGAGCGACAGGCCCTCTCTACGTCATTCCAGAGTGACATCAACAGCATTCTAGAGTGGCAGCCTGCCCCCACCACATGCTCTGAAGATGCAACTTGCTATCTGTTCAATGCATTCTAGAGCAACCCCCCTCCTCTACTGCACACCAGTATGACACATAGTGCGTTCTTGAGTGCTCAGCTGCCTTGTCCCATGTTCTAGAGCTTCCACTCTGATTTAGAGCAACAGGCCCCTCCTATGCATTCCAGCGCAACAGGCCCTGCATTCTAGACCAACAATTACTGCCAATGCATTCTAGAGCAGCACGTGCAGCTGTCTTCTAGAACATCACAGCCTGTGTTGAAGAACAGTTGTTACTGCTGGAGTAGCAATCACCGCTCTATTCCGGCACTGTTTTGTAGAGTAATTAGCCACTGGGGTATTCTGGAGCATCAGTCACCACACACTTCTAGAGTAACAAGAAGCACCAGAGTGTTCTAGAACAACCATTGCCAGAGTATTCTAGAGATACAGATAAGGTCCTGGTGCTGAAAGTGCCAGTACTGAGCTCCATTGCAGGGTTGTGGCTGATCACAGTAGTCTAGAGTGAAAACCACGAGAGCATTCTAGAGTAACACTCCCCACCATATTCTGTAACAGTCCCTGCAGTAATGCAGCACAACAGGATGCTGGAGCCATAAACACCGAGGCCCAGACCCTGTAAATGGAGGTCGCTCCGTCAAAGTCAGCGTAGGAAATGGAGCCCAGGATTCTAGAGCAGACCAGCATCGGGGGGTGCTAGACTAGAGCATTAAAGGGCCGAGGCAACACGTGGCATGGGAGCGGGGAAGTAGGAGGGGGTTATCTTGGCTTGGTCACCATGGGGGCGCCCACCCCTAGAGCACTTGGGTTTGTGGCAATGAGTCTTTCCCATTGATGCTGAAAGGGGAAAGGTCGGGAGTTAGATAAAGAAACAAACACATATGGGGATGAGGTAGAGAGATGGATGATATGGGGACTGGATGGGCAGAGGGGGATGTATGGGGACTGGATGGATGGAGGGGGATGTATGGGGATTGGATGATGCCTATAGGGGACGGATGGATGCATGCATTAGAGAGAGGGATAGACAGATGCATATGGTGATTAGATGGCTAGATAGTTGCTTATGTGGATTCAAGAGAGAGAGAGAGAGAGAGAGAAAGAGAAAGTGAGAGACACGAGCACAGGGAGATGGATGATATACAGACAGACTAGCTAAAATACTTTCCTATTTTTAAAACGTATATTGACTACTTTAGAGCAAAGCAGTATTTATCTGGCAAGCATTACCATAGAGAGTACTGTAGTCATTTAATACTACGGTGATCTGATACCGTAGACTACACTCAATTTGTTCTCAGTATTTTTGAGTACTTACCATACAACACTGTAGTATTTTAACAATATTGAGACCTATTACTTTCCCACCCTTCCAGTACTTTAAAGTATTTTTTTAAGTAATTGCTATGCAATATTGAAAACATTTAACAGTATTTTGATCTATTCACTGGAACACCATAACATTCGGAAGCACTTACTATAGAATACTGCAGTATTTTAACAGTATCTTGACATCACCCTGTAGGATAGTCTAGCGCTTTGCAGTAATTTGGGACATTACTGCAGTAATTTAACAGTCTATTAATCTAGAATACCCTGGTGCTTTACAGAGGTGAGGTGGGGGAGGTAATATATTTTATTGGACCAACTTCTATTGGTGAGCGAGACAAATTAGACCAATACAAGATATTACCTCATCCACCTTGTCCCTCTAATATCCTGGGACTGACCTGGCTACAACAACACTGCTGCTTTTACAGTGATTTAATGAAATGCTATAGTAATTTAACAGCACTATTTTACTCTAGTATTTTACTGTATTTACTATGGAACAGTAAAATAATTTAGCCGTATTGTCATCTGTTACTCTGGAATACTCTAGTATTTTGCAGTAATGTTGAGTAACTCCACGGCAATTTAACAATACTGTGATGTTACTCTAGCACTCTGTAGTAATTTGAGCAATACTGCAGCAATTGAACAGTCGTACAGCTTATCACTGTGGAATACTCTTGTCCTTTATTGTATTTACTATATAATATGGTGATTTAGCAATGCTGTAACCTGTTACTCCAAAGTACTTCAGTGTTTTTGAAGTAATTTTGAGCAATGCTCCAGCAATTTAACAGTAGTGTGATGTTATTATTCTCGAGTAGTCTAGTAGTTTGCAGTGTCTTTGCACAATGGTGCATCTAACATTATTATAGCCCCTTGCTTTGGTATTTAACGTTTTCACTATAGAATACCAGAGTCATGTAATTGTATTGTGATTTGTTACTCTCGAGTACTCTAATAGTCTGCAGTATGTTTGAGCTGAAATCCAACAGTACTATAGCCCCTTACTCTAAAATGTTACCATATTTACTATATAATACTAGAGCAATTTAAAAGTAGTGTGATCTGTTACGCTCAAGTACTCTAGTAGTCTGTAGTAATTTTGAGCAGTCTAACATATTATGGCCCATTAGTCTAGTATTTTTACTGTATGATACTACTACAGTAGACCCCATATTGCTCACATACTATATTTATTTCCTATATAATACCAGTACAAGATGGTATTGTGATCTGTTCCTCTCAAATACTCTAGTACTTCAAAGCAGTTACTCCAGGATCCTCAAGTTTTTTTCTTTAATGAGCATTATGGGGTAGAAAGATTTTTCCAGCTGCCTCCTTGCGCTCCGTAGCCAGTGCCAGTGGGGCTGCCCCCCGGGCACAAATTCATAGCACCAGGGGGCATTTTTAGTGCCAGGAAGCTGGGCAGAGACTCCGGCTGCAAAAATGCCGTTGACGTTCAGCCACAAAGTTTAGCCAGGGATGCCTCTTGCCTAGCGACTGTCCCTGCTAAATGATCCCCTTATGAGGCAAAGAACAGACCAGCCACTGTGCACACCAGAGCCGCATCTGGCCAAGGGCAACCCCAGACCCTGGCATGGGTCACATGTGTGAAAAGACTTTTGTGGATCACCCCGTTCCCTTCCGGTGCCCCCCTCCCCACCTGGCCCCTGCCACTGGGTCCCTAGCCCGGCACTGGCAGGGATCCCCAGTGAGAGAGAAAGAGGGGGCTTCAAGGCCCGTCCAGCCCTCAGCCTCTCTACTGAGGCTGCCAGCGACTTTCGGCCAACAGGGAAGTGGGCTGGGGCCGAACAAACTCATTTCACATTGGGGCTGTGGAATGGGAGTGACAGGGTGGGGCTAGATCAGAGCCCGGCGTCTCTAGAGGGGAGAGGCCCCGTGAGCCATTCCCCATACCCCTGAGCCAGCCAATCCCCCACCCTGTGGCCAGATCAGAGCCAGTGCCCCACAAGAGGGGAAGGACCCCATATCCCATTCCTCTCCCTCCCCAAGCCAGCCAGTGCCCTTGCCCTGGGGCCAGATTGAAGCTGACATCCCCTATAGGGGAAAGGTCCCATATCCTACTCCCCCCAGCCCCCATAAGCCAGCTACAAACTCAAGCCAGACTACTCCAAAAGGAACCAGCTGGCTCAGAGGGGTGGGGAATGGGATATGGGACTTTTCCCCTCTAGGGGGCGCCGGCTCCCATCCAAACCTGGAGGAATTGGAATCAACCACCCTATTTCCACAGTCCATCCCCCGCCTTTCCTGCTCTAGCACCATGAGAACAGGGTGGGGACGTTCCTGGACCACATCCTTGTGGATCCCATGACAACCCCGGCCTCCACCACGTGCCCTATATCCCTGGCCCACGAGGGCCAGAGACGCTGCCCAATGGGAGCTGGGCCCGGGCTGGAGGTCAGAGGTCAACCATGGCTAACGGCCCCACGCCTGGGGTTGGCGTCCCCACGTTCAACCCTGTGTTAGGCACCTGAAGGAGGAGGAGAAGGAATGAGGGGAGGAGAGACAGTGGGGGATGAAAAGAGGGAGGGGAAAGCGGGAGAGAAGCAAAAGGAAGAGAGAATGAAGAAAAGGGTGAACGAATGAGCAGAGGAGAGAGAAAGAAAGAGGAGGAATGAAGGAGAGCAAAAAAGAAAGACTAAAAAGGGAAAGAATGAGAGACACTGAGGCCGAGAAAGAATGAAACAGCCGAGAGAGGGCGTGAAAGAAAGAAAGAAAGAAAGAAAGAAAGGATAAAAATGGCGAGAGGAGGCAGAGTGAAAAGTGAGAGCACGAAGCAGAGAAAACGAAAGAGAGCGGGGAAAGGAGGAACGCAAGAGGGCGAGCGAAGGAGGGAGTGAGGAGCGCGCCGGTACCTTTTTGCGGTGGGGGTCGTTCTTGGCCAGGCAGGATTTCGACAGGGACAGGTAGCCCCCGATCACCTGGATCTCCTCCGCCGTGGGGTAGCGCTTCTTCAGTGGGGCGCTGGCCGCCTTCTCGGGCGCCGCGGAGCCCCCCTCGCCCTCGACGCCGTTCTCCACGGCTGGCACCGGCACCTTGCGGGGATTGATGGTGATGGTGTTGCCGCTTCGGCGCTGCACGGCTGGGTGGGGCAGGGTGGAGGGGCCCCCCAGCTCCCGGGGCCCCCGGCCCCCGCGCCTCATGGCCTCCCCCTCGGCCGGCTCCTCGGCGCTGGCCGGGAGGGGAAGCTGCTCACGGCTGGGGGAGGAGGAGGAGGAAGTGGAGGCCGGAGCAGCGGCAGCCTTTGGAGGAGAAGTGCTGGTTTCCTGCCGAGCCTCGCCGGGGTCTGGGGGAGGGGAGGCGGCCGCCCGGCGCGGCACCACCACGAAGGAGTTGCGCGAATGGAGGCGCAGGCTGGCCACGGCTTTGGCCTGGGCCTCGGCATCCAATATGGTGTCGACGGGCAGGCCTGAGGCTGAGGCGTCTCCATTGTCCCCCCTGCCACTCCTGTCCAGAGAGGTGACGTCTCTGCCCGGCGGGCCCAGTATCACCGCACCTGAGCCACCGCCACCACCGTCACGCCTCTCCGGTGAGGCGGCTTCTCTGGCTTGTAGGCCCGGCCCCAACGCCAATGCACCGCCACCAAGCCTGGCTCCCCTCTCCGGTGAGGCAGCTTCTCTGGCTTGTAGGCCCGGCCCCACCGCCAATGCCCCGCCACCAGGCCTGGCTCCCCTCTCCGGTGAGGCGGCTTCTCTGGCTTGTAGGCCCGGCCCCACCGCCAATGCACCGCCACCAGGCCTGGCTCCCCTCTCCGGTGAGGCGGCTTCCCTGCCTCGCTGTCCTGGCGCCATGGCACTGCCATCACCCCTAGTTCCCGTCTCTGGCGAGGTGGCCTCTGTGCCTTGAGGCCCTGGCACCACGGCCAATGTGCTTCCACAGTGCCAGGCTCCCCTGTCCGGTGAATTGGCCTCCCTGCTCCGAGGGCCCGGCACCATTGTGCCAGGGCTGCCACCATCATGCCTGGCTCCCCTCTCTGGCGAGGCGGCCTCCCTGCCCCATGCTTTGCCGGTGGGCGAGCGCCGCGGTGGGCTCTCTGGCCAGGCCTCGGACCTGGCTTCGAACTGGCTGCGGTAGGAAGCCACGGTGAAGGGATGCCGCGAGGGGGTCAGGCCCGGCAGGTCGCGGGGAGGGCTGGGTGTGCCACTACGGTGCTGGGCCGAGCCGGGCGGTTTCCTTGCTGCCAGGGGGCGTTCGTAGGAACCATCGGCGAGGTTCTCGGTGCTGAGGGACCTGAGCGGTCGCGGGGGTGGGTCCTCCTGGCCGAAGCGGCTTAGCAGCTTGCTGACACGCCCGCGGCGTTGCTCCGGGAGCCCCGGCCGGCAATCGGCCTCGCCGCGGCTTTGGCCAAAGGAGTTGAGGTCTTCCACGCTGCGGCTGAGGGCCGATTTGACGATGAAGACTTCGCCGGCCCGGATCTCGGTCACGCTCCCGCCGCGCCGGGCCAGCAGCTCGTTCAGGGATTCCACGCTGCCGGATTTGGCCTCCCCCTGCCGCTCGGCCCCCAGCGGCGCTGCTCCCGGCACCGACTCAATGATGATGACGTTGTCGGCCCGTAGGGTCCTCACCCCAGGGCGCTGGCCGTACAGCTCCATCAACTGCTTGGCCTTGGCGCTGGCCGCCTCGGCCTCCGGCGCCGCCGTCTCCTTGCGCCTCTTCTCCAGCTGGATGAAGGGGTTCTGGTGCACCGGGCCAATCTTCTCCTGCAGCACGGTGCTCTCCTTCTGGCCCATCTCGGGGCCGGGCGGCCCCGCCACAGCCAAGGGGGGCCCTGCTCCGCCGCCACTGCCCTCCGGGTCCGAGAAGGAGGTGCCGGAGCCCTGCTTGGCGCGGCGGCGTTCGATGATCTCCCGCTTCCAGGCTGGCATCTTGGCCATGCGGTCCTGCTGCTCCCGCTCTCTGCGCCGTGCCTCTTCCTCTTCCTTCCGCTTCCTCTCCAGCAGCTGCAGCTTCCACTCCGGCAGGGCCGGCGCCGGAGCCGACGCCATCCTCACCCCGGGGCTGTGGGGGGCAGGGAGGGAAGTGGGGACGGGGGCAAGGGGGAGCAGGGAAGAAGGGATGGAGGATAGTTTGAGAGGATGAAAGGGAGGGATAGAGAAAGTGTCAGAGATGGAAGAAGAGGGGGAATGGAGGGATAGTTTAAGAGGACGAAAGAGAGGGATAGAGAGAGTGCCAGGGAAGGAAGGAGAGTTTAAGAGGAGGAGGAGGAGAGAGAGAAAGGGGCAGAAATGGAGGAATGGTTTACGAGGAGAAAGGTAAGGCTGGAGGAAGGGAGGGATAGAGAGTCAGGGAAGGAGGACTAACGGGAAGGAAGGAGAGAGAAAGAATGGAAGAAGGAGAAAGGGGGCTGAGGAAAGAAGGAATGAGGAAGTGGGAGAAAGGAGGGATGGAGAGAGAGCTGGGGGAGGCGGGAGAGGCAGGGAAGGAGGGATAGCGGAGCCGGCAGAGGAATCAAGGGGCTCCCTGCTCTCCCCCGCCCCTGCTCTGGGAGGAAGAGAAAGAGAGAGAAAAAAAAGAAAAGATTAAAAAAATCCCTAAAGTTCCGCCTGTGTCAGCCTGGCGATTTCCGGAGGGGGCGGGCACTGCTCGCCCCACCCGCCCGGCTGACAGCCCCGCACGCGGCTGGGAATCCCGGACCCCCATGGACCCCAGGAGTCCGGGGAGGGGGAAGGGACAACTCAGCCTGGGTGTGGAATGGAACCCAGGCGTCCGGGTGGGGGAGGGAACCCAGGAGTCCGGGGAATGGGGAGTGAGGGGGGTGGCTCAAACTGGGTGGAGGGGGGAACCCAGGAGTCCAGGGGGAAACCCAGGAGTCCGGGAGGATGGCTTAGGTTTGGTGGACAATGGAACCCAGGAGTCCGGGCAGGGGACGGTAAATCTTGGAGGGAAGAGATCTATATTACCCCAGAGAGAGCTCAAATCTTGGTGGCTCAGAGGAGCCCAGGTAGCCGGGTGCGTCGGGGGGAGGGGGGCTTTTTGGTGGGGGTGGATGGAAATTACCCTGGACTCCAAACCTCGATGGCTCAGGCTAGCTGGGCTATGGGACCCAGGCGTCCGGATGGGGGAGGGGGAGAATAATTACCCCGGAGGAAAGTAGCGGAACCCAGGCGTCCGGCCGGAGAAAAGGCGGCTCCTTTCGGCGCGGGAGGGTCCGAATTCTCCGCGGGCTCCTCAGAACCCAGGCGTCCGGGCGAGGCGTGGGGGGAGGGGAAGGTTCCAAACCGCCTTTTGTCAGCGACGATCCAGCGCCGTGGGGACCCAGGCGTCCGGGCAAAGAGATCTCAGGCTCCTATTGTCAGCGGCGGATGGGGGGGCGGGGAGGGAGAAATCTCGGTAGGACCCAGGCGTCCGGGCAAGGAGCTCGCAGGCTCCTATTGTCAGCGGCGGATTGGTGGGGGGGATCAGTGGGACCCCGGCATTCGGGCAAGGATCACAATGTGTGTGTGTGTGGGGGGAGGAGATCGACACCTCGGAGGGACCCAGGCGTCCGGGGGAATTTCCCGGCTCTCAGCGGCGGCTTCTCACGGCCCCATGCGGCTCCCCTCCCCCAGTCTGGCGGCGCCCTCCTTCGAGCCTTTCCTTGGGGGGCGGGGGGCCGATCCGCTGCCCCGCTTGGGGGGCCGGGCCGGGGAAGCGCTGACAGGAGGCAGCGGGGCCCCAGGGAGAAATCGCTGCTGGCCCAGCCGCTGAGCCGCCAGGAGAGCCGTAATCCCCGCCTGGCTCATCCCCCCCAAAGCCTGGGAGAAGAGAGAGATGGGGCGTGGGGGGGGGTGGAGGAGGGGCGGGGGAGAGCTGGGGGGTGTCTTTGTGTATAAACAGAAGGGGACGAGGACACAATGCGAGGGGAGGGGCTTTGGTAGCAGAGGGGGGGGTTGGAGTGTGTGTGGGGGGGAGGGTCGGATCTGGACAGATGGGGGAAGGGGGAGGTTATGGGGTTGGGGGCGGGCTCTCAGGAGAGGGGGGCATTGAGGGAGTCTGGGGGGAAGGGGTGGGGTCAGGCTGTCGGGGTGGGTCGGGGGTCAGGGGGTGGGGCTGGGGGAGGGTATGTGGGGTGGGGGGATCAGGGGGTAGGGCTGGGATGGGGAGGGTGTGTGGGATGG